CAAAGAGGGATGGCAGTAGTCTGCTGCTGATCCCCTTCTTAAATGTAACCCTCTTTTTCAGTTGCTGAGCAGGCAAAAAAACCCAAACCTGCCATTTTAATTCATGACTGCTCCTGAAGAGCCCATGACCACTGATAATCTCCAATCCAACAGAAATCCATATAACAGCAGTCTTGTCCTCCAGACCATCTTCCTTGTGGTCTGTGTTCTTGGTACCTTTCATGTACTACATATGTAGGCTCTGTGTCTGCAGGTTGCAAATACAACCAGGTGAACAGCCACTTCCACTGTATTCGAGAAGGCTGCCAGTTCTCCTTCCTGCTGAAGCACCAAATGACATCCCATGCCAGAAAGCACATGAGAAGGATGCTGGGGAAGAATTTTGATCGTGTTCCTACTCAGGTGACTCACTGGTTTTTTACATTGTAGATCTGACTGTAGTGATAGAACCACTGGTTACTTGCTGCAGAACTGCATTAATTCCAAGGCACTCATAGCCAAAGTCTTAAGGATACGTGTCTGCACTGAGGAACGCACCTGGGATGCATGAGTTCACCTAAGCTAGCTTTGGCTGTTTTGACTTCTGTAATGTGAGGAGAGATGATAAAGCATAGACATCAAAGCATTACTTAATCTGAACAGCCTTTCCTTGTGAGTAGTACAGAGAAACATTTCAAAGGATAACACTGAAATATTCATATTTACAACTTGCACTCCTTCCCTGCTCTCTCAGTATACACCAATTGGCTTATTAAAATTGAAGTGCTTAGGATGTGGAAGAATTGAACACGCTGGTTAAAGCAAACATTTCCTGTTGCACATAGAGAATTATTTGCTGCTTCTACCTCAGCTGGGAGGAATACCAGTCTCAACATTTCTCTGCTGACTGGGAGTTATGCAGGGCAGTGCAGCCACTTTTTTTCCTTTCTAACACAACTGACAGCAACTGGTTTGTGTGTTGCACAAATAAATTCAAATTGCAGCATTGACCACCTGCTCAGAATGGCAGCAGTCCTGCAGCCTCTTCTTTGCTCCTCTTATCCCTGCTTTAACGTCCCCAGACTTAGGAGATGAAAGAAGCAAGCTTTATTTTAACCCCTGTGACTGATCTACCCCTTCGGACATTGTCTGGTATGTGTAAAGCAAAAGGTGCCATCTGTAAAAGCAAGATGGAACCCCCTTTCATTCCACCACATGGGAATGAGAGGTCCCTTTTAGTTGTCCTTCCCTATCAGTAAGTTAATTGGTTAAGTCTGCTGCTACTGGAATTATGTGTAGCAATGCTACGTGCTCTACTGCCACTGCCATTCTGCATTTTTATATCCTTACTCCAGTTTTCTCCATTCCTTAGGGCTCAGTAGGCACTTACTGATATGTTTGGTTATGCGCTGCTTCTGGTTACCTGTCCAGGTACAACTGTCCAGTGGTGACCAGGTCACAGCAGCTGTATGAGCGCAGAGCACAGCAGCACACACTCAGGTCACTGGTTTCTGCCTGTGATCCCAGTGCCATGTCTCAGCAGGCAGGCACTAAGGCCAGCAGTCGTACTCCAGTCACTAAATGCAGCAGGACCTACCACTGTAAGACAGCAATGCCAAGATTAACACCTCCTGTTTTTGAATGCATCAGAATCTGTGCACCAGGATATCATTTCCAAGATTAACACTCCCAGCCTCTGAGCACATCACAATTCACATACCAGGATACATGTGCCAAGTTTAATGCTCTGAGCTCCCAGTGAAGGAAGATGCATGCTGCTAGCCACAGTGCCATGGGTTTCACTCATGAACATGTTCGATTTATTCCTCATGAGCAGTGGCAGAGAGAAATAAACGTGCCGACAGATGGTTTTGGTCTTGGCATCTTGCTTTTGGTGTGAAAGTCCCCATCCTGCTTTCTTGCTGCAGGTTATTGGCCACACTCCAAGAAATGAAAATCTCCCCCAGGTTGGCAGCATGGCACCCAGCCCAGCCTCATCAGGAACCCCAGCTTCCTTTCAGGGACCCCCGAGCATGATGGACACTGAAACAGATGAGTACATGGATTACACTGGCTGTAGCCCTGGGGGGATCTCCTCTGAATCTTCCAATATGGACCGCAGCTGCTCCAGCACTCCAGTGGGCAATGAAAGTACATCAGCAGGTAAGACAGAAAGGGGGTGAAATGGATAGCCAGTTACCTACTCTCCTGGGAGATTAACTCATGAAGAGAGGACAAAGGACAACTGTACCTTAAAATATAAGACACTACCATGAAACAAATGCAGCTTATACTAATGTAGCTCCCTCCCTCATTGAGAGAAGAGATGCATCAGAATGGGATCTGTGAACTAACAGTGCATCTTTCTTCTCCCTCCCTGGACAGAGGTTTTTATTCCATGTCTTGGACTGGATCTAGTTGAATAGTTGCTTTAAAAAAAAAAAAAAAGAAATTAAGAACTGTGGGGCTCTTTCTGTCCCTGACATTTCCCCAGTTATCTTTCGGGGGTTTTTTTGTGCAGCAAGTGAAGTCAGGCATTTTTTTTAATAGTGTTGAGGAGGTACAAAAAGGCTGTACAGTAGCAAATATCAGATATGGAAGGGGAAAAAAGACTATCCCATGTTCAGAAAGCACCACGTAAAAGCAGCTCACTCCCTTTCTCGTGGAAAAACCATTGTGCCACTTTGCAAAGTGTTACAGAGAGGAGACCTCCATCATTCTCCTCTTTTTGGAAATAAGTTTCTGCTATTATTTCCTGCTTGCAAGGATAACGAGCAGCCATCTCCCCCTGCCCTGTGTTACGTAGCTATCTCTTCAGAGGTCTGGTTTCTCTTATAAATTCTGTTATCATCTAGTGTGGATTCAGGGATCTCTCAGCTGTCCTTCCCAGGGTGAGGTGTGTTCTAGGTAGTCTGCCTCCCTGAGTTTGCTTTAATCTCACATACATTCTCCTGCTTTGCATTCCCATAGCACATACATGAAGGTTATAATATAGCACATCTAACCATATGTTACCATCATATGAGCACTGCTGCACTGTGACAGTGGATGCCCCATGGCATTAAAGCTCCTCCAAAGAGTTTTGGTGGGACAGTGATTTCTGGCACTCTCTCCAGCACCATCCCAGCAAGTCACACTTCCTAGGAAAACGCCCCTCTATCCAGGTGGTGAGCAACTGCCCCTGCCCAAAGCTGAGACAGGGCTCATGGTTGTTAGTTGGTACGAGCTGGCACCGCAGAAATGTGCAAGGACCAGACAAGCAGGAATTTCTGCTTGAAAGCCTGTGGCTGCTCCTCCATGTCATTAAAGCCACCTCACCTTCTGCAGAGACAACCTTCCTCTTCCTGATGCTGTCAGTTCCTCACCTTCTGTTTCTTCTCTGTTACAGTTCTGTTTCATACATTTGTTAATGTATTTTCCATTTTCATCATACTGCTTCCGCTCTTGGGTTCTCATTTTATTTTTTCTTTTTCTTTTTGTTTGTTTCTTGTTTTTTTTTTGTTTTCCTTTTTTTTTCTGCTTTTTTTTTTTCTCTCCACGTTCTCCAGGCTGCCTGGTTCCTTCTACTGCCACTGCTGCTGCCGATGATGCAACCCACAATGCACCTCAACCTCCACCTCTGCCTCCATCTTTCTCACAAGCCCTGCTTAGGTCTCCCATTCCCACCCTCCCCTATCTTTTCTCTCCATCTTGTCTCTCATACTCTCTGCTCAGTGCCACTCTTGGATCCAGCAGAGGCATTGTCATGCCTGCCGCCAGCACCACTGGGTTTTCGCCCATCATTGCCACTCCAACTCCAGTAAAAAGTGACGTTCCCTTAGTTCAGGATGCAGCAGGTAACACTTTGCTTTCTCTCTTAGTGTCCTTTGCCCATCTCCTTCCCCACTCACCTTGCCCACATTTTTCTCTGCACCTTTTGAGTCAGTAAAAAAAAAGCCTTTGTCACTCTGTCTCACTTAACATTATCCAAGGGCCCTTCCGTGCCTGCTCCATTTGTCTGCTGACATGGTGACCACAGCTATGAAAGGCAGCCAAAAAGCAGAGCAAATCATTGTGAAAAATTCAAATACCTGAGAGAATTTTCAAGCCAACTCCAAACTATGAGAAAAATCGAACAATAACCCCCAGTTAAAATTCACTTTTCACCTCTTGATAACAGTGAGATGGCCACAAAGCAAACCTTTGCTCTAGTAGCATTAATGAACTTGGACTTCTGCATAAGAACTTCAAGGCCACCAAGCCCAGTGCCTATTAGTGTTGCACGTATCTTGGTAGGTAGATGTCTGACAGGGTAACCAACTCCAGTAGTTTTATAGCTCCTTTCAGCCTCACTGCTTCCTGTTCACATATAAAACCATAAAATTCAGAGCTGCTTTCCTCAGCACAAGTAACAGAGGGAAGTACAGTCAGTGTCACTTTGATGACATCATCAGACATCTCAGGCTGTTTCTCACACTCACTGTTTGCAGCTGCTCTTACAGCTGCAGAAAATACATTCAGAGCTTTAGTTTCAAGCTGCCATGTTTCCCATGTGTGACTAAGATCAGAGGTGGCTCAGGCTGGGGATTCTCATTCTGGCTGGAATGGTTTTTAGGGTGTGTCTCAGCTTTGGCTTCTTTTCCCAACTCCCAGCTCTTTTCTAGTTAATCAAGAGCATATTTGTTTCACACTAAAGAGGATTCTGGCAGCCTATAAATGTCCCAGTCATTCTTCCTGCCAGCTTTAGTGTGTGCATGTGTAGTAACATGCAAATCTGGGGCGAATGGTGAGGAGTATGGCTGGAGGACCAGCTCTGCTTGGAAGTTCAGAGGTTTTGTCGTGGGATTTGGCTGGAGAAGCTTCCACCCCCTGTCCAAAGCAGTGTTTTCCAGTGACTAAAATACACACTAAACTGTATTTTTAACTGATTTGCATGTTACCTACAATATTTTACTTTGTGTTGTTCTTCCCTCTAATTAAATATTTTTAAGTTTATTTTGTTTTTACCTATTGATCTTCATATAGTTTTTTGAAATGTTTACATTGTTATTAGTTGAAAAGACAAGTTTATGGCATGTACTTACCATTGAGATTTGATTGGGATTAAATCTGCTGGGGTTTATAATCTCCAGCTGAGCATTAGGGACTGAACGCTGCCTAATGGCTGATGAGTGTAGCAGGTTATCTTCCTTTTCATACCCTTGTTCTGAAACTTGCTGTATGAGGAAAACAAAATTGGTTCAGCTGAAGTTTTAAGCACATCTGTTTGAGCTGTTGTAAAAGCTGAGCAGACGCATCGAGTTTTAAGCAGGTCAGATTCCAAATTCTGTTTATTTCCCAGATATTCTGTCTTCTCTTTACAATGCCTTATCTTGTAGTACTGTCTGAAGGCAAACAAGAGTAGCATCCATAGGTGGTGGTTTGGCTGTAATTTCTTGTAGGTAAGGGAGGAAGGAGTTGATGTGGATAGCAGGGATTTGTCCAGGTGTGCCTAGGAGCAGAGAAGATTTTACAAATGCATTTGCCAAGGGGGATGCAGAATGATCTGGTTGCGGACTCTACTGCTAATAGAAAATAAGCAGTGATAGAAAGCTACTCCTTCACTGGCAGCTGGTTAAATTAGCCTTCGTGTGCAGTTCCCACCAGTCACCACAGTGATCTCATCATGCATGCCCCAATCTGGTGCTCTTATTTGCAGTTTGAGCCCAAGTGCACATAACAGATGGATGTGAAAGATCTTTTGCTCTGCTCACACAGCAACCAGTACAGCCCAGGCACACCAGGATGCCACTGTATGGGGAGGTCAGGTTGCTGCTACCCTGCCTGTAGACTTGCACCTTTCAGTACGGTGCATGTTTAACATTTGGAGGCTTCCTTGGATAATCGTCCAAATCCTTTTCATCTGAAGAGGTGTAAGCTAGCAAGCCAGGTATGGCAAAAATAGCATCCATTGCTTTTACTTACTTGTCAGCAAGGAAAAAACAATCCCACAGCATTCAAACAAATGACTGTTTCCTCAGTCTCCTAGGCGAGGATGCAGGCTGCTCTAGATTCTCAGGTCCCATGCACTGCATGTCTCAAATTGTGCCTCTTTAAAAGGATGGCAATTTCAGCATGAAGATGGAGGGCAAAGAAGAAAAAAAGTGTGTTTTAATTGCAAGCTATAATTTCCAATTACACTCACAGTTTTGCACCTGGTGTGAAATTCTTCTTGCCTCCAACCTCGTGTGCTGCATGTTGGTCCTGGAGATTTTGATTCTGGAAATAGTAAGCAGAGAAGGAAAAAAAGTTAATAGATATAATGAGGTCGAGTCCTTGATGTCAGCTGGATCCTAGGGGACATGAGCACTAGCCAGTTATGCTGGCCCTGTGAATGAAACTGGAAGATAGATGAGGGCTCTTTATTTACTAGGGGCATCATGTGATTTTTGAGACCCATGGGAAAGCTGTAGAACTGGTATTTTCTCTTGGAGTCCGCTGGCTAGTGATGATGAGAATTGGCCCCATTGAACATCTGTCCATCTGTCTTTCTAAGTGCACTCATCGTAATATGTAGGCTCATTACAGTGAGGGATGTTGCAGTCTCCTGGCCAAAGTCCATCCTATTTCTATAAATTCCCCCCCTTGCACTTTCAATCATGCATGGGATCTTCCTCCACTTCCTGCCTGTCCTTGGCAGTTGTAGCGTGTTATGGTGTCCTGCTCACAAGCAGCCTGGACAGGGGAAAGCAGTGCACACCTGCTGGTTTTAAAACACTTAAACTCATTTACTACTTGAACCACAATGAACTGCTGTAAAACAAATCAGCCCTCGGACTGAAAGAAGCCAACTCCTCTGCATTAAAGTTTAGTTTAAGAGGAAAGCAAGACTAGAGGTAACCGAGCAGCAGGAGAGACTCTCAGAGTTGCAAAACAGAGAAGGAGCAACAGGATTTGGATAATATTAAGTTATACAAGAGTGGCAATTGGAGGCAAGGGGGGATGTGCTGAAAATCAGAGGAAGTGATGTGCAGCACCAGTCAGCCAGCGGCCCCAGAGCTGAGGCTGACTGAGAGCCTGGGAGATGAGCTGCTGGGGGGGACTGTTGTGGTGTTGCCTGTGCGAATAGAGAACTTGCCAGGACAGTTAGGAGATGAGGAGAGACCTGTCAGCAATAGCACTCTTCACTTTTTCTCCTCAGGGAATACCATCACTATGCCAACTGCCTCGGGGGCCAAAAAGCGTTTCTGGATTATTGAGGACATGTCCCCATTTGGCAAGCGCCGCAAGACTGCATCCTCACGCAAGATGCTGGATGAAGGGATGATGCTGGAGGGATTCCGGCGCTACGACCTCTACGAGGACTGCAAGGACTCCAGCTGCCAATTCTCTCTCAAGGTTACCCACTACCACTGCACGCGGGAGAATTGTGGCTACAAGTTCTGCGGCCGTACCCACATGTATAAGCACGCCCAGCACCACGACCGCGTTGACAACCTGGTATTGGATGATTTCAAGCGCTTCAAGTCTTCACTGAGTTGCAACTTCCCAGACTGTCAGTTCTCTGGCAATAGCACACACTTCCACTGTCTGCGTTGTGGCTTCCGCTGCACTGACAGCACTAAGGTGACAGCCCACCGTAAGCACCACGGCAAGCAGGATGTCATCAGTGCTGCCGGCTTCTGCCAGTTCAGCTCGAGCGTGGATTGCGAGGTGCCCGACTGCAAGTACAAACTCAAGTGCTCCCACTTCCACTGCACCTACCCTGGCTGCAAACACACGGTGGTGGGCATGTCGCAGATGGACTCGCACAAGCGCAAACACGAGAAGCAGGAGCGAGGGGAGCTGCCTGCCATCTCTCCTGGCCCTGAAGGCCTCGCTCACTCCACTCTCGAGTACGACATCCAGAACTCTTCCATCAACCTGGACAGTTCCCTCAACCTCAGCACTGACAACAACAGCAGCTCCCTCTTCTTCCTGCAAAACGCGGCTGGTGTGGGCCTCAATGACTCCCTGGACCTCAGCAAGAAGCAGTCAGAAGTCGCTGAAGGGCCCTCCCCCAGCAGAGCCGGGGCCGCCCCTCAGGAGCCAGGGGCAGCGGCATCAGGCTCTGGTGAGGTGGAGGATGAAGATGACTCTTCCCAAGAGGATGAAGAGGATGATGAGGAGGAGATGAACGAAGAAGAAGAGGATGATGAAGAGGAGGATGACGATGATGACGATGAGGAGGATGACGAAGAGGAAGACCTGAACACAGATTCTGAAGAATCGCTGCCTGACCCTGAGGGCCTGGCCACTAAAGATGATGGGGAACCAGAGGAGGGTGCTTCTTCTTCCACAGACCATGGTGATGCTTCCAGGCCGCAGGATGAGGCAGCTCCTGCCCTTCCTCCAGCCTCAGCTCCTGCTCCGGCTCCCGCTGCTGCCCTAGCCTCTACGGTTGCTCCAGCAGCTTCTCCTTAATCCCAGAGACAACAGCAGCAGTGGTTTGGTTTTGATCTTACAGAATTACTTAGGGGACCCCACATGAGGCAAGAACAAAGATTTGGGACAGCAAATGAAATACAAACTCCGTGCCACACACACGAGAGAGAGGAAGGAAGGAAACCTATACTCCACAGGCCCCATAAGAGAGACAGGTTCGCAGCGGGACTGGTGCTGCATTGCTTCATTCTGCAGATCACAGAACACAGGGGCAGGATGCAGCAAAAAAGTACCCTTTTATATGGACATGAACCTCGAGGGTACTGGCTGCTTTTCCTTGTCTCCTGAAAGGTGCATGGGGCCTGCGCCCATCTGGGGACCCTTTGTTATGGGTGGGGTTCTGTCCCCCCATTTTTCTTTCTGGGTTTTTTTTTTTCCATGTTTTCAGTTGTACGATATTAATAATAATCTCCACTTCTTGGAGGGGGGTGGGTGGGAACAACAGGTAATGAATTGTAGAAATATATATTTGTGTGTGTGTCTCTTCTATATATATATAATGTACACACACACACACATATATAATATGCAAGGAATTGGTGTCACAAAGACAACTAGCTCAGTTTTTGCCAGTGGGAAGGAGGGGGGCGAGGGGTGCTCTCTCTCCCCCACCTTTCTCCCTCTCTCTCTCTTCTTTCTCCAGCATTAAATGGATGGCATCAGACAGCAGAGGGTGGGAGTGGGTATTTATTGTCACGCAAATGAGGATGCATTAATGAATGAGCAGGGGTGGGAATGGGACACTCCTCTGTTCTTCCAGATCCTTTTTACTATTAATGATAATAATTTTGAATGCTATTTATATTGTAAAACTTTCTCTGTCTACAGCTGTAAGGCACCTCTCCCCATCCCTGCTGTTCTGCCTGTAGGGATTGAGCTGAAGTAACTCGGGAAGGGCACAGCGGGCAGTTAAAGGGTTTGTCACACTGGAGGGCTGGGGTTCAACTCCCATCCAGTTCCATCTCATCCCAACCCCAGGTGCTTTCCCTCTGTTGAGGGTGAGGCTTTTTTGTGGTGCTTCAGTATCCCCATCTCAGGAGGACTCGGTAGAGTCAGGAGGTTGTGAGCTGACACACAGTGCCACGGTGCAGCACAAGGAGCACTGTGCTCGCAGGAGAGCATCCCAGCCGTTAACACAGCCTTGAAAATACTACTTGCTCTCTGCCCCACACAGTGGCATGATAACAGGTATGTCCCCACCCCAGGCCCTCCTCCCCTGCCTTTCTCTGGAGATGGGCACGGCTTTCCGCACGGACTAAAATGTAGCTCTGGTGACTTCCAGAAGAGGGTGAAGGCACCACTGAAGAGGGAGAAGGCAGACAGGCATTCAGGATCCCATGTGGGACGTCCCACTTCTTTGCTCAGCACTGGGTGGGGACCATTCTGCAGCACCCACTAAGCTATTTGCCCAGCCTTGGTTCTTGCAGCCACAAAACATGAGGCTGTCGCAAGCTACACTGCACAGAAAGATGTGGGAAGATGCCAGCAGAGGCCAGGATGCAGTCCAGCTAAAAAATGATGCATTTCTGTGTCCATGCTGATAAGTTTTCCTGAGTGGGGCTGATAGTTCAGGCATTGCATGAGTAAATGGAATTTAGTAAGCTGGGACCTGCTGCCTCCAGAAGCTCAGGCTTTCCCTGGCCACAAGCTCGTCTCCTCCCTGCTCTCTTTCCTAGCCCAGGTTGGGAACACACACTACAGGAGACTGCCCAGGACTCGGGCAGGTGAGGTTGTAGCTGTCTGACCCCAAATCCTCACCAGAGTCTGAGAAAAAGGGCTTCTCTGCATCCACACGGCTCCAAAAGGACCAGCTGTACAGATTAATGCTGGTCGTAGCTCTTTCAGTGCCAGTCTGTAGTCTGTAAGTACACCAGCCTAGCGAAAGGTTCCTTGTGTCTGAGCTGCGTCCCTTTTTCTCTTTAAGCCTGGTTGGTTTTTTTTCCTTACATGCAGCCCCTCCTCAAGCACTTCAGCTCCAAGGGATCCCCACAATTTGTTTCTACCCTGAACAGATAAAGGCCTCAAGGAGTTGAGGTTGCTTTATTTTTTTTTTTTAATTATTTCCCTTAGGAACTGGTGTAGATCAGGTCTGATTTATAAACAAGCAGCACGGCTGCGTACATGTGGGGACAGAATGTTCAGATGATGTTTCAAAAGGAAAGGCAAAAAAAAAATTAAGAAGTTGTACAGTATTTTTTTCTGTAAAGGTTATTACTATATATAGAACAAAAGAGAAACAACCAATGCCAGGGGGACGAGGGGGGTCACCTGCCTTCTGTAAAGCCCTTAGATACGGTTAATTGTGTGCAATTTTTTTTTTTCTTTTTTTTTCTTTTTTTTTTTTTCAATGTAGTGTTTGTTTGTAGGGGGTGGCAGGGGAGGGGGGCCTTAACTCTGTGGTTTGAGGCTGACTTCACACTCCTAGCACTGACCGGAGCTGCACGATTCCGAATTTTAACTTGAATTTTGTAGAGATGAAACAAATGAAAACAAATGAAATATTGTTATTACTAGTTTGTAGTTTATTTAATACTTTGGAGTTCTTTTCCTCTATCAGTTATTTTGTGTGGCTTTTATTTTTACAGGGTTTCATTCTTTTGTTTGTTTTTGTTTTGTTTGGTATATCCCCTGCCCTCTGCTGTGTATTTTCTAGCACAGACCAACTCCTGAACGTAACGAAGCTCCTGTTTCTGGGGCTGAGTGAGGGAACACAGACCTGGAATTTCTAGAACTGGGATGGGGCAAAAACCTCTGCTGTAATGGCAATTGCTGCAGGTTCTGTACTTGCCCGCTTTTCCCATATTCAGCCACTCACATGGTTTGGTGACGGGCTGCAGGAGGACCCCTCAGCTGTAACACAGGCCCCATCTTGCAGACCAGACGTTTTCACTTGGCACCCAGTGGACATCACTGACTTCTGTGGGGGCAGCACGGAGCCCCTGCCCTCACACCCTGTCCTCTGAGCAAGGCAGGCACTCCCTGGGGCACCTCAGTACCACTGGGGCCAGAGGAGCCATGCGTGCTGCTCCACGCAGTGCCTGTACCTCTGCCCCAGCCCATCCCAGCAAGCTGCACTACTGAACCACTGCAAGGCAGTAGGAGAAGGCCGAGGCACAGAGAGGGGAAGGGATTCCCTGGCAGCTGCACTCAGCAGCACTTTGCTGGGGCCTGTGCTGCTGCAGAGCTGTTCCACACCTCCTTCCATGTGGCTCAGAAAGCCAGAGGGGCCCATGTTTATCTATGCACACCACCTTCCCCCTCAAGGCACCCGACTTCTCCCCAGTGTCTCGGCCTTTCTCCCAGTCCTTTATCACCTCTCCTCCAGGAGCTGGCACAAGGAATGCAGGTCCTTTCCCAAGAGGCTCACACTGACCTGTGCCCCACGGCCCTGCCTGGTGTGCGCTGCCCTGCCTTCCCCCAGCCCTGTAACCTGCAGAGCTCTCACCACGTCCATCTTTGCCCCAACAACAACAAGTCTAGAAAGTTAAGCCCGTCTTTTTCTGCCATGCTCAGGCTTTAATTCAGCAAAACTCTTAAGCAAACGCTTCCTGAGCTGGGGCAGATTGAAGCCCATGCTTAAGAGCTTTTCTGAACAAAGGCCCCACCAGCACAGAGGCGCCCATTGCAGAGAGGTGGTTCTTCGCTTCATGCGATCATATCAACAGGACCATTAACACGATGCTGTAAGTGCTTAAAGAACGACCAGAGAGAGAGAGAACAAACTGTGTGAGGAGGGGGGAAAGAGGAGAGAGGAAATGGAGCTGTTCTGTCCAAAACAAAACGAAAAACAAACAAAATAATCCTTGGGATGGACCCTCCTGATTCTGCTACCATTCACTGCTGAGGAGCAAAAAACGAAATCAAAACTATTGACTAGATGGTTGTTTCTAGCCACAAACTCAACTGGATTAAAGTCTGCGTGGAAGGAATTTTGTAAAGAAAAAAAAAAAAAAAAAAGAAAAACTTTTTTCCAATGTAGCAAAAAAAAAAAAAAAAAACTTCAAAAAAATAAAAAAAAGACAAAAAAAGACAAAGAGGGAGAATTCTAGCCTTTTGTAATATCCATATTGCACACTAGGACTATAAGCCATTGCTAGCTCATTTTGAATTTTAAATGTGTAATTTTTTTTTGTTTTGTTGTTGTTTTATTTTTTTCTTTCTGTGGGGGAGGGGGGAAATAAATGCTTGAACCACCAATGCTCTTTTTAATGTTTTATAAATATGTATGTGTATATATATAAATATAAAAATAATATGTATGCACATATATATGTGTGTGTGTATATATCTATATGTATATACATATATATAGATATATAGATATATATATAGGTTTTGAGACAAAAATGCAGAAAGTGAAAAAAAAAACCACCCTAAACAGGACGGTGTGCTCTGATTTACTTGAATCTGGTCTCTTCAGCACCTGCGTTATTAAGAACTGAATATTTTTCCACTTGAATTTAGTGCTATTAGAAATTTAATATATGTGTTTTATTTATTTGATTTTTTTTTTTTTTTTTTTTGCATGACTGATGCAAGGTTTGACATTTTCACTCAATAAAAACTGGAAAAAAAAACCAACAAAGTTTCAAGTGATGGAGTTGTCTTCTTGATTGAGGAGGTGTTTTATTTTTTGGACAGCTGACACATCTCAGAGCAGTTCGGGTCTTTCAAAGCACCGCAGCCCTGGTAATGCCCCCACACCCCTTTAACAGCCACTTTTAGCACCAGCACTGTGGTGATAAGTGCAAACAGAACAGAGTTCTCTTTTTACGGACTCTGGCCTCAAACTTTTCAAGCAGTCTTGCTGTAGTTCCATTTCAAGTGTTCATCAGTGCAGTGATGGAGGCGATCAGTCATAGAATCACAGAATGGCCTGGGTTGCAAAGGAGCACAATGCTCATCCAGTCCCAACCCCCTGCTGTGTGCAGGGTCACCAACCAGCAGCCCAGGCTGCCCAGAGCCACATCCAGCCTGGCCTTGAATGCCTGCAGGGATGGGGCATCCACAGCCTCCTTGGGCAACCTGTTCCAGTGCCTCACCACCTTGAGTGAAAAACTTCCTCCTAATATCCAACCTAAACCTCCCCCATCTCAGTTTAAAACCATTCCCCCTTGTCCTATCACTATCCACCCTCATTCCCCCCTCCTGTTTATACGCTCCCTTCAAGTACTGGAAGGCCACAATGAGGTCTCCCTGGAGGCTTCTCTTCTCCAAGCTAAACAATCCCAGTTCCCTCAAACTTTCCCCATAGGAGGAAATAGGCAATGCTTATGCCTCCATGATGCGCTGATGGGGGATGTGAATTAGAGACGCAGCTGCTTGCGTTTTGACTTTTCCCTTCCTACCTCAGTCTGCAAACTCAGGGTGGCAAACTGGGACCACAGTAGCACCATGCTTGCTGGAACCCACTGGAAACCTTACAGTGGCATCCAAAGCCCTCTAAATTTAGAGCTGTGTGATTATCACCCTATCAAAAGAGAAGCAGGGAGCACGAATGGGCCATCCTGTCTGCATGGAAGGCGTGGGACCAGTCACCTCACTGACAAGAACCAAAATGCAATGCTGAAGCCATATATCGTGATAGAACTTCACAAGGCTACACAAAACTGTACACTACACATCCAAGATCTAAAAGGAAGCATTTCTTACCTGGCCCCTCCGTAGCTTCCTCCTGCTGCTGTCACTTGCATGTGCCACGTGTTGGCAGAGAGAAGTGATGCCCTTGGGGATGAAAAAGTCCTTTTCAGGGCAGATTTTGTCTTTCCATCCACACTGCTACAGCACTGCCTTGGAGCAGCCGAGCCAGCAGTTGTGAGTTCCTGCAAAGGAGCAACAGGTAAGATAAACCCTGGGTGCTCAGTGCAGTTTGTTCCCACCATTCCACCTGAACAAAGGCCAGGCCTGGGCGCTTCCTCACCAGCTCTGGAAACAGGCTTTCCCCACCTGCTCTATGAGGCAGATAGGCACAGGCAGCAGGTGTCATTTGACAAGGACTTGAATAAGCTGCTTTGGGGAGGCAAGGAGCAGTGGCAAAGTTCTCGTTTTACCCAAAGAAAGCAAAGCAAACTCCTCCTGCTTTGCTCTTCCCCACAATGAAAACAGCTGGGTGTCTGTGCCTGCTGCCCTCTGCCACCAGTCAGAGAACCCAGGAGCAGCAAAGCAGAGCCTGCTGAGCCCCATGCACTGGCAGCAGCTGCCTCCTTATTAGCAGAGAGGATTAGACTCCTCTCTCTTTCAAAGCCCCCTGGTTGCTCTGCTGCAGCTCCCAGCCATCCTGTTTTCAGATGTCATTATCTGAACATGCTCTTAATCCGACCTCAGAGCAGAGGTTTGCTCTCTCTGGAGCTCTGCCCACAGCACAGGGGATTTTTACATCACAGTGTTTCTGAGGGGACGCGACACGACTCACAGCTTGGAAGCTCCTGCTGGAACTTGCCTGCTCTCTGCAGAACTCTCACTGCACTTCGTAAGAGAATGGCTAAATCGAGGGAGAAGCAGCGAGTTGAACAAATCAAAGCCTCACTACTGCATTCCTTCCAAGCCCTCGCAATGGGTGATGCTGCAGCTCTGCATCCACTGCACTCAGAACCTTGGGGAGGGAGGGCAGCAGACACCCAGCAAGGCAGCTTGCTTGAAGGTCTGCACAACCACCAGGCACTGTTGCTGCTATTGTACACTGATTACATCGAGCCTATCCCTGTAACAGCATTTTTTGAGCACAGAAGCCCACAGTTAACACGTATTCACAAAACTACACTGCCTGTTTTACAGGAGGCACAGGACATTGGCTTTTCAGCACATGACAAGCAGCACGCAGCAGCCACCAGCACAGGCACCCTCAGCAGGAATAGCCCTCAGCACCAGCCCAGCCCAAATACAGCCCTGCTTTCCCTTTCCATATGATTCATAAGACTTAAAACCAAAACAAGCAGCAAAAGTTCAACTACCTCAAACGAAGAAGCATTCGAAGTATTCTAGGAGACAGAATGGGAGACCAGATGGTTCTGCTGCTGCTTCCCATCATCCTGTTTTTCAGATGTCATTAAACAAACCAGCCTTAGCACAGAGACCTGTCCTTGCTGAGCCATATGGGCCAATACGGACAGAAATAAAGGCAACAGACTACCAGTGTTGGCCTACAATAAGGGTAATGGCCATCCTGATGGCTCTGAAAGATGATCATCACAATTTGTCTAAGTACTTCTCACAGAGCCTAGCGTGGATATTTATGTGGGTTACTAGGAAAACAGCACTTCGGGTTACACCTCTCCTTATGTCCAGACCAACAAGGAATGGTTTCCATACTGCAGCAGGCACTCACTCAATTTGCAGCAATCTTTCTTACAAGCTCATCAGCTCCAGACTGCGCTCCCCTTTAGCAGGCAGCTGTCCCACAGGAGCTGTGAGCACAGAATGCCCCGCAGTCACCAGCAGGTGTGCAGAGCCACCAGTGCCACAGAAACTCCTCACAGCTTGCTCAGCTGAGCACCGAGTGCAGGAAAGCAGGCCTGGCTGGGAGGACGGTTGCTCTGGTAGCACAATGCCTCCTACACCCAGGCAGAAGGAAATTCAGAGTTCTGACTCTTATTGGTAGAGGAAAGGCAGCTGTTATGACGCACAACACATACTGGGCATAGCTCAGAGCTTGCAAGGACTGAGGCTCAGCACTGGCTTCATGCAGCATGCTGACTTCAAGAAAGGACAGGAGACTTGCTGGGAAAATAGGTCTGTTAAATAAGCCCATCTCCATACCTCTAGAGAATGAAATTTGGAATGAAATGGGATTTCAGCATAGATGAGCAGCGGTCAGGGTCCCTGGCTATGAGTCTGCATTGGACATATAATACATTCAGGGCCAGGCTGGATGTGGCTCTGGGCAGCCTGGGCTGCTGGTTGGTGACCCTGCACATAGCAGGGGGTTGGAACTGGGTGAGCATTGTGGTCCTTTTCAGCCCAGGCCATTCTAGGATTCTATGAACACAAAGCACAAGCCCTTCCATGAAGTAAGCTTTGGCACCAACAGCCCTGCTGCACTGCACACACACCGCTCACAGCCCAGCTGAGTTTCACACACACTTCTGAGCTGGTGCAGCCAGGCACAGTGCTTTACAAACCCACAGGTGCCATCCTGCAAGATCACTGGAAGGCCTTTCACAGAGGGAGCTTTGGAGGAAAGGAGAAGAGAAGCTAAGCAGATCTCCCTCTTCCTTTTCCCCCACTTGCATTCCATTGAAGACTGAAGCTACAACTTGACAATGAAATCTCATTTCATCTTCAATTGGAGCATGAACTTTTAAGACCTCTCTGCAAGTCAATGAGCAGCTCGTACCCACTGCAAACACAAAAGCACGTAGATTGCCAAGAATTTTGGAGTTTCACATATGCACACATACACAAATAAAAGATTCCTGTCTCTCTCTACAAAACGGTGATAAACCTAAGTTTAATTTGAACAAATTGGGAAAGAGTGAGAACATACAACTATGCGTACGCATTCTTGTACATGCCTATTTTCTGCAGGTTTGCATGGTACTCAAGAGGGGACGAGGGAAGCCCCCAGTCTGGGTGACAGCACACACCAACACGTGAAGGACCCGCAGGGGTGATGCTTATTACACCCCGTACAGTCATAAGCTGTGGGTATGTAATGCACTTCCACAGTTTTTCATGACCTTGCAAGATTTTTGTTTACTTTCTCTTTTGTCTTACTTATTGTGGGGAGAGAAAACAATAGGAGGGAGGATGAGTTCTTGGTGGCAAGGAGGAGCTTGCTGGGTCCCTCACCTGGGTGCCCTGCAGATGGGAGCAGGCTGTGTCCCCAGGCTGCAGGGTGCTCTGCCACCTCTGCTCCTCCCATCCCCAAAGTGCCCCAGCCCCATCCTGGCTGAGGGGGTGGCCCGTGGAGGCAGCTTCCCTCCTTCCTTTTGCTCTTTTTTGGCAGGGAAACTTTTAAACAAACAAATGAAGAAACACTGAGGATTTAAGTAAACAGACGAAGATTTATCTGACAGGCAGACTAAGGAGCCCGGCCTGCCCCCTTCCCTTCCCACAGGGCAATCTCATGCTCCTGGTACCAACAGCCCTGAGCCCCTCTGTCACCCACAGTCCTGTACCCACTGCCTGCCTCCATCTCACCCTGAACCTGTGTCTGCTGCTGGGAAGGGCTGCTATCACCGTACAGCAAGGAACAAACAAAGCCATCGAATCAAACAGGCAGGCACACAGAGATGAAACCTGCTGTTCATGCTGTACCAGGGCAGGAAGCACCAAACCATGCAGCTGCATGGCAGCAGTTTAACACACAGCCTTTTGTGCATGCACACATCAGTTTGAAATGCTTTAAATAAAGCAAACTTGTTCAAAGGGATGGAGGAACGTCCACTCTACTTTGTCTCTACTTAAATTAAATCAGTTACAGAAATTAATTTTAAAAAGGTGTTACTCTGGCTCCACACAGATAAAACCTAGCTAGCTTATCAACGTGAATGGATGAAGTTGGAAGCAGTCTGTATCTGAAGTGTAGAGAACAAAGGGAAAAGCATGGGGCAACAGGAGAAGGCAGGCATGGCAGCAGGCTGGAACCAGCAGCAGGAGGGCTGACAAACCAGACACACCAGGCAGATAAAGTGACTGAGAGATGGACAAGCAGGCTGGCAAAGGGACAGACACAAAAAGAAAAAAAGGCAACAAAGAAGCCAGTCGTAGTCCTGGATGCTCTGAATCAGTCCTAACCAACCAATCACCTCCTCACTCAGGAGGAACTGTCCTAGAGAAATGCAAGTATTTAATCTAAAACAGAGAAACAGTGCAACCTCAACTGCCCTTCCACTCCTTGGTCATGTTCTTGCAGCTCACATCATAAAAGATACGTGTAACTTGCTCAGAAACAGAAGAGAAAAACCTGAAGGGTTAAATCCTTCAGTAGAGGCAGGAACGAGGGGGTTGGAGGGAAGGGGGGCTCTCTGAGATGCTCCATGCTGTAACCCCTGAGCAGTCCCTGCAAAGCATCTGGGGAGATTTTTAGTCTGAAAGACACTTTACAAAAATAAATTATAATTGAGTTTAATAATCTTCCCCTTTCCAGAAAGGGCCTGACAGATGCTGCCTAGTGCTCACTTCTGCCCCATTTCAAATATTTTTACCTTATTAGGATGAAATATATTATTTTTCTAATGAAAGGATTTTTTTTTTTTTTTTTTTTTTTTTTTTTTTTTCCAAAGAGCCGGTTTTCCTTTCGTCCAGCTGGTGCCTTTATTAGGTTAGTGCTTGCTCCCTTCTGAGGATGGGATTGTTTTTTTCCCTGAGCTGGGAGAGACCATGCCAGCCCCTCGATCCACAAGTGTGCAGCTCAGAGCCTCCAGGGCTCAGCAAGAGGAAAACCTGGCCTCTCCCTGTATCCTTTCTGCTCCCCATGAATTCAATTTAGGTACACTTCCACTATTTTATTTACTTTTTTTTTTTTTTCCTGACAGCACAGGCAGTGATAAGGTCCAGACTTCCATCAGTGTAACAGATGGACGCAGCTCAGAAGGTGTCTTCAGAGCCTGACTCCTGAGGAAACATAATGTCTGGGAGATGTGAGGATGAAAGGGAAAATTAAGAAAGCTGGACGCTCTCTCCTGTACCCTCAGGTAAATAATTTCCTCCTTATCACCTCCCAGCATTGCTTTATTTATGTTTTCAGCTCCTGGAGGCCAAGCCCCTTACAAGACGTACGCTTGCAGTGGGGCAGAGCTCAAAGCCCAGTCTGGAAGGCACTCAGCTCTAGCCTGGTACCAGGTTTTGGCATGCTGGGTCACCAGCACATACAATTGGTGCTGTACATGAGGCTCCACCACACACAGAAGGGACCTTCCAGATCTTGACTCCAGTACAGCAGGTCTGCAACAAAAAGCTACCTGGCCTTGCTATCCAGCCCAGGTTTCTTCAGGTATCACACAGCCCCCCCAAAGCAAAGGCAGCCTCTATTTCTGTAGCAAGCATTGCAAACAAGCAGCAAAGCAGACTGTTTTTTCCTCAGCCCTACTCCAGGCAGCAACACAGCTTTCCCCCCTGCCCTGCTGCCACCCTGCAGTAAACCTCACACCAGAGTGAGGAACCCCTGGAAAAGCAGCCCATTCTCCCCCATTCACTCACTCCACTAAGGACAAAAGTAAGAAAGAAAATATTTAAAAACCACTTACCTGCTAGAAGCAGCTCAGCTCCACCGTGCAAAGACCACATCTACAATGTCTGCCTCTAAGCCTGGAGGGTGGCTCAGCTCATCACCCACAGCTGTGCAGTCCAGGCCATAGGAGCCAGGCAATCAAAGAGAGTGGCTGCAGCTGGGCAGGGGGCTGCAATCACTGCACCAGAGGGCACAGCCAGTAATGGGAGTTTGTGTCAGCTGCTGGACCTAGCATGAAATCTGCTTCCTAAAGTTGCTTTCTCTGTAGCTTTTATTTGTCACATCCCACTACGCACCAGATGGTACTTTTGCCACCATGTGGGAAAACTGAGGCACGCTACAAGTAAAATGTTCTGTAAAATGTTGGGCAGCAAACAGCAAGATCATGGGGGACCCTGCAGTCCATCCCTTCTGATCTCAAACACTGTTAGGTTACACCCTGGGCATGCAAAAGGCAATAGAAGAACTCCTGATTCTGACAAAGGTACATGTAGGGATAACTGGTTACACCTGGGGGTGAGGAGGGTTGGACAAAGAGGATCAGGAGCCGTGTCTCATTTAATCCTTTCCCACTTTGTCACGTTTTTTGAGCTCCCCACGTTCTCTTGTAGCTATTGAAAGTGGAGTTTTTATATCCTCAAATTACTGGAAAGTGCCAGCCTGACATTATCCCCCCTAGGGGAGAGCATAGGCTCAAAGGGTTTCACTGCTGTGTGCTCAAATGACACTGTTCAGAGGAAGCTAGTTCTCTTCACTTACTCTCTTCTCAGTACCAAAAACCTACAGAAACCATGCAGTAAACCCACTGCACCCACCTGCCTGTGTTGTTACGTTTCGTTCTGTGCCAAAACCAAGGCTGGTTACACTAAAATACAATCCTTGGGTAAGCCAGAGGGTGGGTGACTGCTTGTGCTGCCTTGTGCTGTGTGCAGAAAAAAGGCTGACTACCTGGTCATCTTTCAGCTAACGTGATGGCACTCTCAGTGTCTACTGTCCAGTGTGCTAAACATTTCACACAGCAGCTCATATAAGAAGCTTGTTTTTAGCAATAATCATCATCATCATCACAAGTTAGCAGTCAGTGCGGTTCATTAAGACCAAAATACTTGCCCTAAAACTCCTGCTGTGCTGCTAAGAGACAAGAAAGGAGAGACTGAGGAGTGACACTCACGACTCCCAAAAATACCAGCTGCTAAGAAGGTCTGGCTTCTTCCAAATTCTATGCTGGAGGGTTAGAATCAACAAAGTACATAGGACCCCATCAGGAGGCTCAGAGATGGAGTTTTTTCAGCTGTGGACTATGAGGTAATTTGCTGGGACTTGTATCAGGTTGGGGAAAGGAAAAAACATGACCTATCCAGCTGGTAAAGGCTGTAAGAAACAAAAGCTAAGAGAGTGAAAAGGGCAGGAATTGAGGAAATCTACCTTTTACTCTGCAGAAATGTAATGGTAAATGGATTGAACATGGGTAACATGAAGGAAAAGGGGGAAAAAATGAACCCTCAGAGATGGTTGTATTGTAAACCTCGTAAGTCACTTTGCAAGGCACATACCTCAGCAACATATTTTCCACATTTCACCAACTGCTGTTGTCCAGGCACTTTCTATTTTCAAAACCTTCTATGTATATAAAATGTACACAGGCAGGACAATACTTTTTCATTACATCCTCGTGTTCAGTCGTGTTTTCTTTTCACAAGGATTCTTGGCTTGGAGAAATGAAAAGTGCCATCTCTCAATACAAATCTGTCCTTTT